GGACATAAAAAAGTGGTATCGTGCCATCTCTATTAATAATTAGGACAAAGAGAAAAAAGTGCTTAAAAATAAATGTAAATGATTCATTAAAACTTTGGTTTATACGCTGTCTCCAATTTTTACTTCAGAAAAACTCTAACTCGGTTCTGCCACACCTGGGTGAGTGTATCTATGTCTTGTGGAAAGGAACTACCAGTTAGGGAACTGAACTGGATATTGACTCTAATGCCAGCTTTATAGGAAGTTGAAGCAGTTGTGTTAATCTCTGCTGTTCTTCTTATATGTTCAGATATAAATATTAAAATCTTTCTGAATCCAAATCCACCCATTTTCTTTCTGGAGGCTGGAGGCCATCTGATCTGTCAGAGCGAGGCAGCGAACAACCTGTTTTTAGTCTGTTGTCCCCAGTATATGTTGTTAGGTAACATAAAACAACACTAAATCCAAACAAATACACTGAAACCGTACCTCTCTAAAGGTGTCCGTCACATCATGTAAGAATGTCTCCTTTTCCCGTCCGTGGCTGTTGCAGCACTCAAAGGTTGTGACCATAGTAGGAGTGGTGAGGGGAAGCAAGAGGATCCAGATGACGACAGAAATCTGAGGAGATTTCTTAAACACGTTGACAAAATTTCTCCTTCCAAGATGGACCACATTGAAGTAGCGATCGAGGGACATTGTGATGAGGAAGGCGATGCTGGCTCCTCGATTGAGAAACAGCATGAAGAGCATTATCTTACAAAGCACAGTGTCCTCACTGCGCCTCAAGTTGTGCTGGTAATGATGGATCTTGAAAGGAAGGCAGCCCACCAGCAAGAAATCAGCAACCACAATATTGAACAAGAAGATCGCTTTGTTCTTCCAGAACTTGTATCTAAAAAGGTCATAAAACAGTTAATTGTTTCACAGCCAGTGAGTTTGCTTTGTATCAAGAGCGAATGAAGAGGAACAGGAAAACAATAAACCTAAGCTTATGATGCTGTTTCTGCCATCTACACAACCTCTGAGTGCGACTGTCCAACATTTTACTCAGCTCTCTGAGGAGAGGATGACTCATGTCAGATAAACTCTTCAAAACTGATAGACCAGCATGGTAACATATGTAGATTTTACTTTGTAGCGACTTGCAAGTGCTGCTTTTTTGTTTTGTTTGCACTTCAGTGTAACACTTACAGCTTAGCTTTTTTGTTCTACACTTTCTATTTTAACTTTTCAAGAACAAAATTGGATTCATCTGTCCATTTCAAAGGTTTAATAGAGTTGTGGTAGGTCTTGTTATTTATATGGCGTCTGAATTGGTTGCATCAGAGTGGTCACAGTCTTTTAAAGATAAACTTAAAACCGCTTTCTTCACCACACCAGTAGCTCAGTTGGTTTACACTTCATTTAGCAAACTTTGCTCCCAGTAACGAGAATCCAGCACAGCTTTCCTCTTGGTTTTTACTAAAACAAGAATAAATCTAAACGAGTGAAAAGATTTCCCGTACCTGAAGATGAAGATGTAGAGAACGGACAGGTTGAGAGGCAGACCCAGTGTAAATTCTCCCACCATTACCCAGGAGAGGACTTGGTATGTAATGTCACTGGGTGTTTTGCAGTGGTCAACTGATCGATTTACAGACATGTTTTGTTGAATCATCATATAAATGGCAAAAAATGTCCACCTTGTATAGCAGATAAAGCTACGGTCAAATTAATATGTCGTATATTGAGAAAGCAAGCATTGCAGTTAAATCCTTTATCCTGGAGGTTGTTGTAGGTTCCTATGATCTTGAATCTTCACCGTCAGGGACAGATGGCTCCTTCTCACTCTCCTTCTAGTTCCTCAAATTGAACAGTCCCCTTAAGAGAGCCTTACAGTGATTGTGGACGTCTGTCAAGGCTGGTTTTTCCATGGCAAAAGATACGGAGGAAGCACACTCTCAATGCAGCGAAGGAGAAAGGAGAAAATGCCCTCTCTTAGCTTCTGTTTATGTGATGCTGCCACGCTGGTTACTTGCGAAGAAGTATTTACATTCAGGAGGTGCTGGAGGTGTGGTTTAGGGAGCTCTACTCAACTGACTGAGAAACTAAGCATGAGAGTTACATTTATGAATCTTTCAATCTGCAAACTCTAAATTATTACTGCAAAAAAGGAATCTGACTGTAATTTTGCTGTTACAGAGAGAGAGAGCTATTTGGAAACTGGTAGTTCAAGGTGGTTTTATCAGCAGACTGGCTAAACTCCTTGTGACATTCAGGGGACTGTCAATATGAGAAAATCATGCTTGCACATTTGCAGTGTTATGTTTGGAGACATTCATGGAAAAAACATGCAAACACATATAAGTTTTACGTTTTAGATTTAAAATAAAATCATAAACCGGTGTCTTATTGACAGATACATTTAAAACCTTATTTCAGTGCTTTGTCAAAGCCCCATTTGGCAGCAGCTACAGCCTTCTATGTTCAAGGATAGATATTTTCAATCTTTGCACATCTGGATTCAGGCTGTTTGTTCCACTCTTCCCGACACATCTTTTCAATCTCTCTGAAATTGCATGGAAAGCCAATCTGACTGAGCTGCTACTTTATAGTCGCTGGCAGAGTCTGTATTTCAGCTCCATGCCAGCTAATCTAAGTTGGATTAATACTTATCAGTTGTCTTGGTTAAACCTGCTTTGGTTATGTATATCAGGTGTTTTTTGTTATTTGGTTGAAGGATTACGGGCAGTGCCAACCTATACCTCTATTTTATCAATATGTCACCGGTGCCACAGAAATAATGAGTGAAGGATCAGCTTCATAGCTTGGAAAGTGTGCACGTGATAATTATCTTCAAATAAAATCACCCCTTACTTTGTGCAATCCAATGTTGGAATTCCAGATTTGTTTATGAGTTCAAACTTTTTTTTTCCATTTCAAAATGATTAAGACCATTGTGCTTCTGTGATACTGAAAAGTTTTGGAAGGTTCTGCAATCTGACCTGCTAATATTCTAAATGTTTTCTGTGCTGGTGCGCTGGCACACAGCGGGTTAAATGGTACACAGGAAAATGGAGAGAGTAATTTTTCCAGAGTTAACATTATTTTCCTCTAAAAGAGTCATTTTCACTCATTTTGGATTGTAATCATTTCGATTGGCTGCCAGAGTTGGAGCAAAAAAACAGAGGAAATATTGTGTTTTTGGATTAGCTTTGTCGTAGAGGAGGGATTTTTCCAGACTGTATTCTTCCTCAGTTCCAGCTGGGATATTCTCCAGACCTAAATGACACTCTACAGGAATGGTATCATCATGAATTCATGCATGTTTGGTTAAGTGTTGTTGAGCATACATATAGGAAAACTGTACAACATGAAAGATACAACAAAAAAGTGAAGGGTTGTGAATACTTTTCAAAGAAATAGTTGTATGATTCATGGGGTGAGGTTGAGCCAGAATACAAGTTTGTCTGAAGATCTGATGAGTTTACACTGCATACATTTTGTTACAGTATATAAGAGGATTCTTTAAGGAAATATTACAGCTTTCTAATACAGACAGGAGTTCATGGATGGATTAGATTACTATTTGTCATTATCATCTTATTCAAGTACACCATTGTTTGAGCATACTGGCATTTAGAGAATTGCAAGCAGTGGAAAAGTCATGTCTATGCTTTAGGATGAGCATAAAGAGTCTTCTACAACTATGAAAACTCTGAGGAAATCATAGACAAACACTTTGGTCATTCTTACAAAATACTCCTGAATCAACCTGAAAATGCATAACAGCGTTTTTGGTAACTAAGTCAACCATGCAATCTTGTCAAAGTTAACATACTTTGCTCTGTTCATGTTAACCTTTAAAGTAACCATTCCTCCTCCTCTCTAAAGCTCTCCTCTGCTGTAAAATACAAAAAAAACTAATCATTTCAAACTTCAATATAAATTTGAATCCTATTAAGCCATGCACTGGCATCTTTACTTCACTTTACTTAACTGTAAGCTGTGTCATTGTCTGACACAATGTTGCACAAATGAGCTATGCCACATGGTTTCTGCAACAGACACATGAACACAGTTGAGTACGTTTTGTGCTTTATGGCTTGTTGCACGTCTGACTGTAACAGTGAGAATTTTAACCCATTACAGCCATTGCAACGTGACTTTTCTACACCAATAATATGAGTGTATGTCATGGCCCAGCAGGCCTGCCTGAGGATGGTCAGCTGTGACAGTGTTTTTGTTGTTGTTACTCTCTCTCTCTCTTTCTCTCCATCCAGGGCGGGACTCATTATGGGTTCCCATCTTTGGCTCACGCACCTGCAGGACATCTACCTACAAATGAAGCTGTGCAAATCGTCACTGGATCGTTGTGCGACTCACGTTAGTGTTGCCCCGGCATTTTGCCAACGATCCAACCTGTGCTCTCTTTCCAAATAGACCTCCTGGACCCATCTGGACCCATCCTTGTTTTACCCCGGTAAAACAGGGAGCGGCCCCTGGGGTCGGCATTCACTCAGTTTTCACTCTGGGTTCTTGGCTAGCTTAGCGTTAGCATGCATCTTGGCAGATGCTTGTAAAGAAACGGAAGTTATCTTAGCAGCATAATGCAGCCGTTTCTGTCCTGGGTGCAGTTTTACACTTCAACACTAGACTGCGCCATTATTTTTCGCTTCTTAGACGTGAACCCAAATCAGGTGATTTACAGTGGGATGCAAAAGTTTGGGCAACCGCTTCCTGTAGGTTCCAATGAGAGTCTGGATTGTGGTTGAAGGTATTTTGGACCATTCTTCTTTACAAAATATCTCTAGTTCATTCAGGTTTGATGGCTTCCGAGCATGGACAGCTCTCTTTAACTCGCACCACAGGTGTTCAATAATATTCAGGTCTGGGGACTGAGATGAACGTTGTACTTGTTCCTCTGCCTGAATGCTTTAGTGGATTTTGAGCAGTGTCTCGGGTCGTTGTCTTGTTGAAAGATCCAGCCCCGGCGCAGCTTCAGCTTTGTCACTGATTCCTGGACATTGGTCTCCAGAATCTGCTGATGCTGAGTGGAATCCATGTGTCCCTCAACTTTGACAAGATTTCCAGTCCCTGCACTGGCCACACAGCCCCACAGCTGATGGAAACACCACCATATTTTACTGTAGGTAACAGGTGTTTTTCTTGGAATGCTGTGTTCTTTTTCCTCCATGCATAACGCCCCTTGTTGTGCCCAAATAACTCAATTTTACTTTCATCAGTCCACAGCACCTTATTCCAGAATGAAGCTGGCTTATCCAAATGTGCTTTAGCGGCACTGTTTGTGCTGTGGGCGGAGAAAAAGCTTCCTCTGCATCACTCTCGCATACAGCATCTCCTTGTGTAAAGTGCGCTGAACGATGCACAGTGACTCCATCTGCTGCAAGATTATGTTGTAGGTCTTTGATGCTGGTCTGTGGGTCGACTCTGACTGTTCTCACCATTCATCGCTTCTGTCTATCTGAGATTTTTCTTGGTCTGCCACTTTGAGCCTTAACTTGAACTGAGCCTGTGGTCTTCCATTTTCTCA